CTGGTATTCCATCGCCTGAAAGCGAATTATTCAGCACTGGGAAAATTTCTCCATTAGATGTAGTTTTTCACGACGTTTTTCCTACTCCAGTCGTGTTTGATTTTTTTCTCCATCCGTTGTCCGCTTCCGAACAGCCATTTTGAATGGGGATATTCGGCAGCAGAGGTAACCCAATGGGTATTCAATTAGTTCGGCGAAGGTCCCTGTCCTCTTCTAAATCCTTCCATTAGATTACGGGAACACGTAACGAGCATTGGATTACGGTTTTGGTAGCCGAATGCTCGGTGGACACGTGAAACGTGATAACGAGGTTAATTGGTACTGGTTTGAGAATGAAGCGGGTGAAGTGGATGCAGAAAGAGGTAGGGATGATGGAATATTCAGGGTGTACCGCAAATTCCTTGAAATCTTTGACTGAGATGGATTTCCAGATTCCATTGATGTCTACTAAGTTCTATCCTTGAAACTTATTCCTAGGGGACGACATTGCTACATTTACTGAAATTTATTCATACAATTCGCTATTTATAGTGTGAGAAAAAGAATGGAATAGACTGAACAAAAAATTTGATTCCTTCTGCTAATCATTTCGTAAAACAAAGATTCAGACTTTCTCACAACACCTTCAAACCTCAGAGCTTATCACTGTTGACTATAGGATTCCTAGAACTCCTCGACGAGTATTTCGTCGCCTCGCAGTGAAAACAAAACACGAGAAGCAAAAAAAAAACAAAGAGAAACACAAATAAAGAAACTCAAAGGGGAGGAAGAAGTCCTCTCTGGACGTAGAATCGTAGCATTTTCTTTACTTGAGTTCCTGATGAAAAGAATAAAAGTCGAGTTTCTCAAGGAGATCCACTCCAAGTGTTCACCTTTAACCCCTATAGCCAATTCGATACACACCAGTTTCCTGAGGACGTGAGGTTGACAAAGAGGATGAAGCGGGAGGGGGTGAAACGATATCGTCAGGCAATCGATCTCAGACGTGGACGAGAGTTGGTTGGCAAACGGACACGATAACGAGGTCACTCCTCCCGCTGTAAGGGCTGAGAGGAAGAGGGAATAGGGGATAGGGGTGACTTGTCCATGCTCCTGGGAAAGCCCTCATGGTTGAACACCCTGACGTGACACAGCACCCAGCACAATCAGAACCCTCAGTATTGTTTCGGCGTTGAGGCGCGATACTCCTAATGCCATTTATTTGCGAATACTGAACGATTTGATGTAATTATTCAGTGAGGTTAATATTTAAGCTTTTTAAATAAATAATGCATGTAAATTATCGATTTTAGGGCCATTTCCATGAGTTCATGCAATCACTGATTTCATGTGATTACCTGGGATTTGTCTGGTGATTTCGCGATTTCAGACAATTTCATGGGCTTTCAAGTGATTTTAAATTTTCGATTTCATCTATCTAGTGGTGGAGGGGGAATGGGGTTGGAACCCGGAGGGGGAGAAATGCATCATATTAATGCAAGAAGGCTCAAGCATGAGAGCTACAAAGGGGTTGAATGTAGGGATGAAACCGTCAAGGTGAAGCCATAAGATCAAATAATTTTTTTTTCATTCATTCGATAAAATATCTATTTATTCAATAAAATAGAGAACAACGTACATTTCATACATTCAACTGAACGAAATGAACTCTCCACTCTGATCAGTAATGAACGGACTTTGGAATTAGAAACATTTAATAACTTCTTTATATATTTTTTCATCTATTTCTAAAAATTTCTTGGTAACCACAGGGGAAAAATTGTCTAGCGATATTGACCAATGGCCACATAACCATGAGTAGTCATTGGTTGAAGTTCGAGAATTTTTAAATAGAAATAATACACGTAAATGGGCATACATAGAAGAATACCCCACAAATAAGTCGAAAGTTTCTTCCTCTTTTCTGTATTCGAAAGGATCTCATGAGCTACTGATTTCATGATTTAATGACATTTCACTGACTGCAAGTGATTTGAATTGAAATTACCTGAAATCGATAAAATCCCAGGATTCCACTGATTTCCCTTGAATTCAACTGATTTCATGCGATTTCAGTCCTGAGTGACACAGTGATTTCATAAATGAATGGCCCCTTGTAAATTATTTCTAAGGATTATTTTAGCCTCATCTGATCCTAATTATCCTCATAATTTTCATTCCACACGAACAAGTAGAGCGAAGGAATTATTTCTAAATTAGAACGAACGACACAATTGTCGTTTATAAGTTGAGTAAAGCGATAACGGGGCTAATTACTGGTTCACGATGGTGGTTTCGTATGCTCCACTGAATATTTAATGCTAGAACACTCGGATAAAGAGTTCTACATATATCGAGGTAACAGCGTATCTCATCCTTAACCAAGGAATTGTCCAGGAAGCCCAGAGGGGAATGACAACAGATAAGTTAGTGATTGGCGTGATTGAAATAGTTTCTTTGATTCTGATTTCAATGTTCACGGAACGATTATAATAAATGGAATAGCAATCTCATCAACGCCAGTAACCGTTAAACTATTGCTCTTCTCGGAACGATAATTTCCCACTCCAGTGTTCTATTTTATTGGCATATGAAAAATATCCAGCTAAATCGATCTATCTTCTTATCCTTTTTAAGAAAAACTTACTCAGTTCGATACTGAATAAGATGCTCCCGGGCGAATAGGACGTGAACTCAGCATGAAATATAACCATATACCTATAAATACAAGGATATGATATACTCTTTTTCCGCGAGAGAATTTAACTGTGAGAATTTATCCCCAGGTTATGTCATACATTTTCCATCTCACGGAAAAATGAAGAAAAAAAACTAGGTGTAAAAAAAATCGATGTGAATTTATACTCAATTCCTATCCAATAATTTTATAAGCTTTTCATTCTCAATTGATCAACGTTTTTTATTAATTAATCGTCGTATGTAATACCACGAGAGCTTCGAAATTATCACGTATTTCCCGATGGGTTCGTTGCAAACAAATGAAGGAGTCAAGTTTTTCAGATTAAACTTGACGAGGTCGTTTGTTTGCTGGGGATCTTAAGGAAAATCCGGATTAATTTTGAAGCTCGAGTGGTATATGCAAGAAAATTTTTCCATCCAAATTTCGACCAAGAGAATTACCCTATGAGACAAAATCCATCTGTCAGTGCCAACGAGGGGTTCACTCAACCAGGAAATCTTTTGTTTTTCATATGTATATCAACGTGAAAAATCACCAGTGAAATTATCAAAAATTAGCAGTTGTAGTGTGATAGTGATGCCGCGAGACACCTTGCGTTCATTGAGAATGAGATCATCTCTCCAAAGTTTTGTCTCGTGATGTCTCATGAAATGTCTCGCGGCATCGTTAGTATTGACTATAGAAAATAACAGTCGAATAGTGCAATTCTATTGGCTGAAATTTGCATGGAAAAAATTTTCATCAACATTTCTATTATATAAGAAGACGAAAGAATGTTTGCAGACCATTTGCACGAGACAAAACGTTGGGGAGATAATCTCGTTCTCAATGAACATTTCATGAGACATCATGAGAGAAAACTTTGGCGAAATGATCTCGTTCTCAACGAACGCGATCATCTCTCCAAAGTGTTGTCTCGTGATGTCTCATGAAATGTCTCGCGGCATCGCCAGTGTTGACTATATAAAATGACAGTCGAATAGCGCAATTCTATTGGCTGAAATTTAGATGGGAAAAATTCTCATCAACATTCCTATTATATAAGAAGGCGAAGGGAATGTTTGCGGAACATTTGCCGGAGGTGAAGGCGAAATATGAGCCAAAATCATCTTCCCGACAATGTTATTATCCAGAAAATTAACACAACGATTGAATAGAAACGCATTTACCAAGGTCAAGTACTGCCAGAGTGACACGCGTGGTCATTGACGCATCAGGTGTCAGTCACCTCTGGGAATATACTCCGCAAGACATCGCCCCCGTTCCCCCTGACACACGTGTGTGCACCAACCGAACGCGGAAAACCCTCCTAACCTCAACAATAAAACCAAACAACGAAAACTGAGCGTTTATATGGGAAAATTCCGAGACAAAAATGTTGGAAAACTCCACTTCACATGCTTGACGTAAAAAAAAACACTCACCTGTCGTCCCAGGACGCCGTCAATACACCAGTTCGTATCGCCTTTCACTGTTTGCACTTCCACTACTTAAAACAACTGGAAAATTGAATTTTTCCGAGACGATGAAAAACTAAACAACTTTTTCTTAGATTAATCGAGGCTTTGTTTGCCGTTTTTCGGGGGTTAGGCAGCTAAAACCCCGTGAAATTAACTATTTTATGTTTATTTTTGTTTATCACTTTCGTCTCCATCAGTTTGGAGAGAGAAAGGACGTGCGAACGGATGAGACGTCTTTTAACCTTTCCAGCTCGGCGGATCAGCTGCTACTATCGCTCGTGCTGTTCGTGAATAGCAAGTACAGGTGGCGGAGGGGCGAGATGGCGCCACTCGTCAACAACACACACATCAACAAACAAAAATACTTTCGGAGTGATTTTAAATCGATGAATTTTTTTCCAAAACAAATCGGGCTGTTACTGAGGAAAATTATCCTTCATTTTAATTCGAGATGGGGCAGATGTGGACACTGCTTTTTCTCGAGGGTTTAGTGATTGTTGGCAATGTAGAAATTGTTGGATAAATTCAGTAGCGAAGTGGTAAAACGGTTCAAGTCGACTCATCTCCCAGTTGAGTTTTTCAAGAATATTTCCGAATCTAAGAGAGATAGCGAAATTTTCGTGATTACATTTGTTGTAGCTCTCAGTGGGCTCTGCAAAAAAGGTTATAACAAAAATTTTGCTATCTCCCTTAGATTCCGAGATATTCATTGAAAATTCGCTGATAGCCGAAATTGACTTGTACGGGTTTACCACTTCGCTACTGAATTGTTCCTTGTGAATGTGTCCTTGATCTGCCGTTCTCCGTAATTATCTCAATCCAGAATTACTACTTTTTGTATAAGACATTAGCATTTTGCACGTGTCATCGTTGACGTGGTTTGGAGTGAAATTCAACTACTCACTGACAGTAAAACGAAGAGTAGCGTTTGCTCTCATCAGTGGTTGAGGTACAGCAGTGGATACATCAAGAAATATGACTGTTAATGAAGAAAATTTTCGAGTTTTCGCTTATTGGGCGTCAATACTGGTGTTGAAGGTGCTGGGAATGGTATTTGTGATAGGGAGATGGCGTTGGGGAAAGGGAGTGAGTAATTACTTTCACTCTTGATTTATTTCAGGAGCAAAGTGCCCAAAGGATTCAAACAGAGAACAAAATTGCTTTTGCCAAGTATATTTACTTGCCACAAGAAAATGTATGTAAATATTTGCACAAGACATGTGTAAAGTTTCTTGTAGGTAGTAAATATACTTGGCAAAAGAAATTTTTTTTCTCAGTGCAAGTTGACTCAGATCTTGACTCAGTTTTCGGGAAATTTCTGCGAATCTAAGGGATATAGCGAATTTTTAGTGAATAACTTTTTTGTAGCTCACGATCAGATACACAAAAAAGGTCATAACAAATATTTTGTCATCTGTCGTAGATTCCGAGATATTTATTGAAAACTAACTGTGTCGCCCGGCTTCGACGGGCAGAATAGGTGAAAATTGAATACCAGGATTTTTGAGAATTCCTATAATTAAAAAAAAAATACCTGAATGTTTTCGACTTTTCTAGAACACGGGAGAATTTTCTTGACTTCTTGGGCGTTCCTGAAAAGTCGAACACATTGAGATATTTTTTTTTAATAACAGGAATTGTCGAAAATCTTGGTATTCAATTTTCTGCTATTCTGTCCGGGCCAAGCCGGGTCACACAGCTAGTCAATCCGAATTTGAAATTAAATTGCTCCATTGGAATAAAAAAATTTTTTTTGAGAACTCGAGAATTCTGTGAAATTTTGTAGAACAACCGGAAGTTCCCTCGAATTTTCTAGAAAACCAGAAAATGTTCTCTAATTTTTTTTAAAACCTGATAATTTGTTCGAATTTTTTGCGTGAATCGCGGCCAAAGAATGAACAACAGATTTGTTATATTCGAGAGAATGGTCTCAATAAAGTATCATTTTTAGATATTCATATCTCCAGAAGACACCAAGTTCGTCAAGGGATCGAGAATGGTTGAGAATGACCCGGATGTGGAGAGAGCTCGCAGGGCTCATCTCAATGATCTGGAGAATATTCTCCCTTGGGCAGTTTCAACGGCTGTCTGGCTTACTACATCACCGGATCCGTGGTTAGCAGCTGTCTTGATTAAGACCTTTGCTATTTCTCGAATCCTGCATTCGATTGTTTATGCAGTTATTGTTATCCCTCAGCCTGCGAGATTTCTGGCTTTCGGAGTTGGATTTTTGATCACTATTTATCAATCTGTGACGACAATACTTTATTGTGCGTAACATCGAGGGCAGCAACCCCCATGGAAAAATATATAGAAAATATAGATAATTTAGGCTAATTTAATATATTCTTAAAAATCGGATTTCCAGTTTCCACTGGAGCGAACGGATACGGATGTATTGGAAAAAAATTATTACTCGTCGAAAATTATAAAAAGAATATCGCCATCCCCTATATCTATAAATAACGCAACCTTGACGACTCTCAATCATGAGTTTGAGATTTCCCTAACGACTGGTGGAAATTGTATCAACTGTCGCAAAATTTAATAATTTTCCTTTTCAATACAAAGAACAATTCCTTCCCTTTGTAACGCGCCTAAACTGAGCTCAATTGATAAATTTGTTCCTGAGTTATGAATAATTTTAAAAAAGTTTAAAGTGTCCATTTTGTTTCATCTTTCAATTCTAATTGTCTACCGCCAAAATCAACAATAAACAAATTGAAAATTCAATTTTAGAGACTTACCGAATGCTGGAATGGCTGGTACAGCTACTGCTCGGCATGCTGTCCTTCGAGCCCCGAGAAATCCCTGCATTTTTCCTGGTTCAAGCTCCTTACCACACAAGCACAAACACTCATTCCATTACGGAATCGCTACAACTATTTTTCACGTTCTACTCACTTCTTTAACAATGGAATACCGAAAAAAAACACTGAGACTAAGGTATCACAATACGAACGCCCGATCCTCATGTTTACTAACACAAGGCAACAACGAAACTCCCGGAGATATTTCCCGCACATTCACTGATTAAATCCCTTCTGTCCATGATTGTTTTCATTTCCACGCAATTATTAATTTTTCTTCGTTTAAAAAATCGTTTAAATACGACGAAATATTAACTAATGTCCTCGATGTTCACTAACACAGGGCAGTAACAAAACTCCAAACACACTTTAGCACTTTTCAAAACAACAGATTCACTAATTAAATCCTTTGTCCATCGTTCGTCCTTTTTTCTCACTTCGATCAATTTTCAATTTATCCAAAAATCCATTCAAAAATTGTCCAAAATAACACAGCAGATGCCATCTTGCGACGTCACAAAAACATCGGTCACGCAGAAACGACAAAAATCATCAATTGAAAATATTCATACCGTTCGGGTGCTGGTAATTCACCAGAATTGCAGTCGATTCCATCACAAGATCTTCAGGGTCCATCAATATTGATTTATTTACGCATTGTTCATAATTTATTTGATGATTTTACGGTCTAATCCCTCGAAAATAGATTGACTGCATGATGCGAACGCCAAAGTGCTCGTTCACTGCCAGAGGCTGGTGGCCATATTGGATCTGCGCGGAGAGGTTGCGCCGAGGGAGAAGCGAGAAATTTTCGCCAAGCGGATTTATTTTACTCTCCACCACTGATATTTCATCCGAATGATGGCTAATTCCATTATTGAATCGTTGTTGGACATTATGTCTCATTGATTATTGCATTATTGACGATTATTTACCCGATTTTACCTTTATTTTACAGGAAATGCGTGGAGCGAACGCCAAACGACGCGTTCAGTGACGAAGGCTGGTCGCCATCTTAGATATGCGCGACGCAGTTGCGCAGTGATTTAGTTTTTAGACGCGTTCAAACATGTTTTGACGTTTGTAAAACACCAGAATAAACTACTCTCCCAGGATAAACTCATTATGAACCATTATTAAGATGTTTTTATTAATTTCTATCATTATTTTCTTGCTTTTTGTTTCATTTTCTCGGGAGAGGAACTGGAGATTACTGTCTAGTGAAAAAATCAGAAGGAGACAATTGCATTTTCTCATGGTTTCTCGAAATCTAAGAGAGATAGAGAAAATGACGTAAAAACCTTTTTTGTAGATCTCATTTTTCTCGAGAAAAAAGGCTATGAGAAAAATAACGCTATTTCCCTAAGATTCAAGGATACGAAGCAAAAACTTTATTTACGAACAGTATAAAATTTATAATTCCAATGATTCTTCATAATTTTCCGTTTGGGTCTACATTTTGCATTCAGTAGAATAAAAAAAAAGAAAAAAATCTCTGAACAAACTGATAAAAAAAATCCCATACAGAAATATATATAAAAAATATAGATAATTTAGGCTAATTTAATATATTCTTGGAATATATATAAGATTTATATAAAATATAAATTTATACGTTTCATACATATTTTATATAATTTTTATATATAAATCAGGCCAATTCCATATATAAAATATATAACTTTCAGAATATATATATTTCCGTATGGGAATTTTTTTTTATCAGTTTGTTCAGGGATTTTTTATCAATGTTTATTGCGATTCAATATTTTTGGTAGTGAATGTAGCGTTTAAAGGGGAAAAAGAAGTTCACACAGTGAAGATTTATTAATTTCTACAGAATTTTTTGTGGCAGAAAATCAATGTATAATATTCATTCGTTGTTGTCTATAATTTCCTAGGGAAAAGCGGGACAAAATGAAACAGTCGAAAAATGACTGCTTGACGCAATTCAAGCAAAACATTTTTTTTTGTGAAACATTTTTTAATAATCAACTTTTTTTTTATTAGTACTGATGAGAATAATAATTTTCCACTCGTCTTATAATGTAATTGATTAGATTAAGTCGATTACACTTTTCTTTTTTCATTTAACTGAAACTCAGCATCACATTTTCTTTTTTCCCCCTTTGAGTCTCCCCCTGGGTCTTCCTCTGGACTTTGGATTTTACAGTTTCCTTTTGTTCTCAATTAATTCATTGACAGAATCTTCTCCCGTCAAAACTTCTCAATAATTTTTCATTCTACTGAATGCAAAATTATTATTCTCATTAATACTCTCAATAATTGATTTTGCCCCACTCTCCCCTACGAAAATGCAAAATGTAGACCCAAACGTAAAATTATAGAGAATCATTGGAATTATAAATTTTATACTGTTTGTAAATGAAGTTTTTGCTTCGTATCCTTGAATCCGAGGGAAATAGCGTTATTTTTCTCATAGCTTTTCTCCTCGAGAAAAGTGAGAGCTGCAAAAAAGGTTCTCACGTGAATTTCTCTATCTCTCTTAGATTTCGAGAAACCATGAAAAAATGCAATTGTCCTCTTCTGATTTTTTCACTAGACAGTAATCTCCAGTTCCTCTCGAGAGAAAATAATATAAAAAGCAAGAAAATAATGATAGAAATTAGTAAAAACATCTTAATAATGATTCATAATGAGTTTATCCTAGGAGAGTAGTTTATTCTGGTGTTTTACAAACGTCAACACATGTTCAAAGTTCACGCGTCTAAAACTAAATCACTGCGCAACTGCGCCGCGCATATCTAAGATGGCGACCAGCCTTTGTCACTGAACGCGTCGTTTGGCGTTAGCTGCGTGCATTTCCTGTAAAATAAAGGTAAAATTGGATAAATAATCGTTAATAATGCAATAATCAATGAGACATAATGTCCAACAACGATCCAATAATGGAATTAGCCATCATTCGGATGAGATATCAGTGGTGGAGAGTAAAATAAATCCGCTGGCGAAAATTTCTCGCTTCTCCCTCGGCGCAACCTCTCCGCGCAGACCCAACATGGCCGCCGGCCTGTGGCAGTGAACGAACGCTTTGGCGTTCGCATCATGCAGTCAATCTATTTTCGAGGGATTAGACCGTAAAATCATCAAATAAATTATGAACAATGCGTAAATAAATCAATATTGTTGGACCCTGAAGATCTTGTGATGGAATCGACTGCAATTCTGGTGAATTACCAGCACCCGAACGGTATGAATATTTTCAATTGATGATTTTTGTCGTTTCTGCGTGACCGATGTTTTTGTGACGTCGCAAGATGGCATCTGCTGTGTTATTTTGGACAATTTTTGAATGGATTTTTGGATAAATTGAAAATTGATCGAAGTGAGAAAAAAGGACGAACGATGGACAAAGGATTTAATTAGTGAATCTGTTGTTTTGAAAAGTGCTAAAGTGTGTTTGGAGTTTTGTTACTGCCCTGTGTTAGTAAGCATCGAGGACATTACTTAATATTTCGTCGTATTTAAACGATTTTTTAACCGAAGAAAAATTAATAAAGGCGTGGAAATGAAAAAAAATCATGGACAGAAGGGATTTAATCAGTGAATGTGCGGGAAATATCTCCGGGAGTTTCGTTGTTGCCTTGTGTTAGTAAACATGAGGATCGGGCGTTCGTATTGTGATACCTTAGTCTCAGTGTTTTTTTTCGGTATTCCATTGTTAAAGAAGTGAGTAGAACGTGAAAAATAGTTGTAGCGATTCCGTAATGGAATGAGTGTTTGTGCTTGTGTGGTAAGGAGCTTGAACCAGGAAAAATGCAGGGATTTCCCGGGGCTTGAAGGACAACATGCCGAGCAGTAGCTGTACCAGCCATTCCAGCATTCGGTAAGTCTCTAAAATTGAATTTTCAATTTGTTTATTGTTGATTTTGGCGGTAGACAATTAGAAGTGAAAGATGAAAGAAAATGGACACTTTAAACTTTTTTAAAATTATCCATAACTCAGGAACAAATTTATCAATTGAGCTCCGTTTAGGCGCGTTACAAAAGGAAGGAATTGATCTTTGTATTGAAAAGAAAACTTATTCAATTTTATCAACATTTCAACCCCTCATTAACATGTAAAGCAAGGCAAATGTGTCCGTTTTACCCCAACCTCCCCTAATTTCATGCCAACGGAAGTTAAATTATCAGCAATTTCCACCGACAGTTGATACAATTTCCACCAGTCGTTAGGGAAATCTCAAACTCATGGTTGAGAGTCGTCAAGGTTGCGTTATTTATAGATAGAGGGGATGGGGATATTCTTTTTATAATTTTCGACGAGCAATAATTTTTTTCTAATACATCTGCATCCGTTCGCTCCAGTAGAAACTGGAAATCCAATTTTTCTATGGAGATAGGATTTACGGGATGTTGGGATAGTAAAACGAATACTGTACCAATAAAACAACTAATTTCTGCGCCAAAAATCTCTCCATTTTATCATTTTCTTGTTCACGGAATCAGTGTACCGCGCTAAGTCCCATAATCCGAAAACTGTTCCGCGAATTCCTGCATGCCACATCCGGTATGCGTACTCCCCAATCGTCATATAGACTGAAGAAAGGGGAAGAGGATAAAGTGGAAAAAAAAAAGTCTTGAGAAGAGTAGGTATTAGGGGATTGAGAAGAAAAGCCTCGCGAGCCGAAAGATTTTGTCGCGTCTTGGCACCGTTCATCGGCTTTTCTATTCTCCAATTTCGTCGTCCACACGACAGAGCTATGGCCTCTTTACTCCTCCCTCTTCTACTCCTCATCTCCTCCACCGCAAAACCTTGCTCAGCATTCCATTTGACCCCCTCCCTGAGAGCCTGGAACAGTACAATTGCGAGAAATCTTTGGTACAAGATCTCCCTTGCCTAAATACGATGCACACGAGTGTGGATGGGAGAAAAGGAATTCTCGGATACCTCTGAACGCGTCTGCCATGCTAGG